TACACAGGCTACTGAAAGATGTTCTAGAGAAGGATCAAAATGATCAGAACTGCATGAATGAAAACAAGGAACATACTAAACAGGGCAAACAATTAAACAAAGGAGAAAAAGGAGTAAACAACAGCAGGTAAATAACATTTCAATCGTAAGACAACACACCTCAATTATAGCCATCAATGTAGATGGACTCAATTCACCAATTAAGAGAAATAGACTGGCATAGTGGATTAGGAAACAAAATCCAACAATATTCTGTATACAAGAAACACACGTAAGTCATAAAGAAATTCAAGCGCTGAAAGTCAAAGGATGGAAAACAATACTACATATCCCAGCACCTCAGAAAAAAGCAAGGATATCAATTCTATTCTCAGACAGTCTCAACTTCAAACCAACAATGATCAAGCGAAATAAAGAAGGCCACTATATACTGGTTAGGGGAAAAACTCAAGAGGAAGAGGTAACACACATAAATATGTATGCACCAAACACGGGAGCACCCAACTGTATAAGACAAATCTTAATGCACACAAAAAATCTGATATCCAATACCACAATCTTGGATAGGAGACCTTAACACCCCCTTATCCCAAAAAGATAGGTCAACCAGACAAAAACTTAGCAAAGCAGTAGAAGAACTGAACCAGAGCTTGAAGCAAACAGACTTGGTGGACATATACAGAGTGTTTCACCCACTGAATACACATTTTCTAAAATAGACCACATACTGGTCCATAGGTCATGCTTAAATATATACAAGAAAACAGAAATTATCCCATGCATATTATCTGACCACAGTGCAATGAAACTGGAAATAAATGACAAAAGAAATCAGAAAAACTCCCGAAATACATGGAAATTAAACAGCATCCTATGCAGCACTCAATGGGTCACAGATGAAATTCAACAAGAAATTCAACAAGATCTATAATTCAATGAAAATTAGACCACAGCTTATCAGAATTTGTGGGATATGATGAAAGCAGTTCTCAGAGGGAAATTCATAGCTGTGAACTCACACATTAGGAAAACAGAACAGGAACAAATAAATACCCTGATGCTACATCTTCAACAAGTAGAAAAGGAAGAGCAGAACAAACCCAGAGCCTAAGGATGGGAAAAAATCGTAAAGATTAGAGCAGAGATTAATCCAATTGAGATGAAGAAATCAGTCCAAAGAATTGATGAATCAAAAAGCTGGTTCTTTCAAAGATTAAATAACCTGGATAAGACCCTAGCTAACTTCATCAAAAAGAGGAAAGAAAAATTTCAAATACAGGCCATAAGGAATGAAGAGGGTGTAATCACCACAGACAACTGGAAATTCAGAAGATTATCAACAGCTACTTTGAGAATCTCTATGCTCACAGAATAGAAGACACAGACAAAATGGACAGATTCCTAGAAAAGTACAAATTACCAAAACTGAATCAAGAAGATATAACAACTCTCAATAACCCAATAACAGCAAATGAAATATGAAATGTAATAAAAAGCCTGTCGACAAAGAACAGTCCAGGTCCTGATGGATTCACATCTGAATTCTACAAGAAATTTACAGAAGATATAATCTCTATACTCCTCAAACTCTTCAATGAAATTGAAAAGGAAACAGTTCTCCCAAAATCATTTCTCGAGGTAAGTATTAAACTGATGCCAACTATAAAAGAGAACTACAGGCCAATCTTCCTCATGAACATAGATGCCAAAATCCTCAATAAAATCCTAGCAAATATAATAATGCAAATCATCAAGAAGATCATATATCATGACCAGGTAGGATTCATCCCAGGGATGCAAGGATGATTCAATATTCAAAAATCTATAAATGTAATACACTATGTCAGTAGAATGAAATCTAAAAACCACATGATTATCTCAATTGATGCAGAAAACCCTTTTGACAAAGTACAACGCTCATTTTTGTTCAAAGTCCTACAGAAAATTGGAATAGATGGCCTCTACTTCAATTTGATAAAAGCCATCTATGACAACCCAATGGCTAATATAATTCTCAATGGGGAAAAACTGAAATCTTTTACTCTTAGATCTGGTATAAGACAAGGATGTCCTCTATTACTCCTCCTATTCAATATAGTTTTGGAATCATTAGCTAGAGCCATTAGACAAGAGAAAGAAATAAAAGGAATAAAATAGATAAAGAAGAAGTCAAATTATCATTATTTGCAGATGACATGATACTTTACTTGGAAGATTCAAAAAACTCCACCAAGAAGCTACTAGACTTGATGCACAGGGGGCCTGCCCAGTAGCTCAGTTGTTTAAGTGCCTGCTTAAACAAAGTCCTCAATCTCAAGCTTCTGTGGTTCGAACCCAGATAGTGATGGCAAACCAGAAATGCCCTGAAAGCATTTGGGGCCTCAAAAAAAAAAAACTTCTAGAATTGATGCATAGATTCAGCAGCATAGCAGGGTACAAAGTCAATACCCAAAAATCAATAGCATTCCTCTACACAGATAACAAGTACCCTGAGGGGGAAATTAGAGAAATAATACCTTTTACAATAGCACTGAGGGAAATGAATTTCAAAATACCTTGAAATTCATCTAACTAAAGAAGTCAAAGATCTTTTCAAGAAAAATTACAGTACTGTGAAAAATGAGATCAGAGGATTTCAGAAAATGGAAAGATATTCCATGCTCCTGGATAGGAAGAACCAATATTGTGAAGATGGCCATACTCCCAAAATTATTGTACAGATTTAATGCAATCCCTATCTAACTACCACCAACATACCTCCCAGACCTAGAGAAATAGTTCCTAAAATTTATTTGGAACAAGAAAAGACCTAGAATAGCAAAGGCAATCCTGGGAAACAAAGACAAGGCATAAGGCATTACAATTCCTGACTTGAAATTATACTACAAAGCTACTGTGATAAAATCAGCATGGTATTGGCAACAAAATAGACCTGAGGATCAATGGAATAGATTAGAAGATACAGAGGCCTCTATGAACACACTCAGCCACTTAATCTTCCACAAAGAGGCCAAACACACTTACTGGAAGAAAGATAGCCTCTTCAACAGATGGTGCTGAAAAAACTGGCTCTCTATATGCTGAAAACTAAAACTTGAGCCAGGTCTATTACCATGCACTAAGCTAAGGTCAAAATGGATTAAAGATCTAAACATTAAAACAGAAACATTAAATCTCCTGGAAGAGATAGTAGGAGGAAATCTTGAAGACATAGGAGTAGGCAAAAAGTTCATGAACAAAAATCAATTCGCACTGGTAGTACTTGAAAGAATTAACGACTGAGACCACCTCTTATTGAGAAGTTTTTGCATGACAAAAGAAATTACCAACAAAGTGAAGAGACAACCCACAAATTTTGAAAACTCTTTAAGAATAAGCACTCAGACAAAGGTCTGCTCTCTAGAATTTTTAAAGAACTAAAAAACATTAGGACCCAAAAATTTAAAGACCCAATCCAGAAATGGGCATCTGAGATGAACACACAGTTCTCAGAGGATAAAATTAAAGAATCGAACAAATATATGAAAACATGCTCCACATCACTAGCCATCCATGACATGCAAATTAAAAGAACACTGACATACCATCTCATCCCAGAAAGAATGGCTATCATAAAGAAATCAACCAACACAAGTGTTGGAGATGCTGTGGGGAAAAGGGAACACTTCTCCACTGCTGGTGGGAATGTAGACTAGTGCAACCATTATGAAAATCAGTATGGAGACTCCTTAAAAAGCTAGGACTGGAAATCCCTTTCAAGCCAGCTATCCCCCTACTGGGAATTTTCCTGGAGGAACTGAAAATGTCATATCATAGTGATATGTGTGTACCTATGTTTATAGCAGCACAATCTGTGATAGCCAAATCTTGGAAACAACCAAGATGTCCATCACCTGAGGAGTGGATAAAAAAGATGTGATACTTTATTGCAATGGAGTATTACTCAGATATAGAGAATGATAAACTCGAATCCTTTATATTTAAGTGGATGCCATTTGAAGATATACTCACAAGTGAACTAAACCAGACCCATATGTGTAAATATCGCATAGTCTCCCTAGTATAAGAACTCAAAAGAAGAAATACAAATAAAAAGTATAACACAATTGAAAGGAAAGCAATATAGTGTGAGGCCTGGAGTGTGCAGGCAGTGCTTGATGCAGTCGCGACGGTGGCAGCAGGGAGCGGGGCAGTGAAGGTGGGTTCTGTTGTCACTTATTGGCTGCTCAGCACTGCACTCAGTGGCCACCATTGCCATTTATTTTCAGTTGCCTTTTAAAGAGGGAAAGCTCATGGTGCAAATTGTTATTTCTAGTGTGAAGGCTGAAGTCCTGGCAGAATGGGTGCTGATGGATCTACAGGGGGAGATAGAGGCTCACTACAGCACTGGATTAGCTGGAAACCTCCTGAGAGACCTACATTACATCACCGAGGGAATTCCTGTGCTGATTGTGGGGCATCATATCCTGTATGGCAAAATCATCCACCTGGAGAAAACTTTTGTAGTTATTGTCAAACACACTCCTAGAGAGCATGACTGTGATGAGCTTGGCCATGAGACTGGCTCCACCCAGTATCTGATGACAACACTCATCAAAGACAAGATCTTTTTCAAAACCCGTCCCAAACCCATTATCACCAACGTCCTCAAGAAAGTATGAAAGAACCCTCAAGAAAGTATGGATATTCCCTAGAGAGAGGCCAACTCCTTGAACTTGTGCACCACTGCCACCTTGAGGATGACTTGACCCTGGGACCACAGGGGGGTCCTATTCTGAACACAGGCCACCAGTTGGGCATGAGCTCAGATCCCTTTCTATGGCAGCCGGTTCTCTTGGTGGAAACCTGGCCCCATTTCCAAGGAACCCATCTTTTCCATCTTCATCAGGCCCATTGGCTTCTAATCTAGAACCCTTCCCTGCTGGTCCTTGTGACCCAAGCATGGCTTCTTTTCCAAGAGGGATAAATCCTATTGGCACAGGCACAGCTTTCCCAAGGCCAGGTGGCCTTTTGGGACCAGGACAATGATCAGAACTAGCTCTAAACCCTAGAGAGGGGATCTTCCAGGCTCAGGTCCTATGTCTAACCCCAGGTTAGGAGGTCACCCAGGCCCAGGCCCTATGTCCAATCCAAAGACAGGTGGTCTCCTGGAAGCAAGTCCTGATCCTAGAAGTTGCACCCCTATGGGACCTGGATCTGGACCTAATCTGAGATCAGGTGTCTTGTTGTCTTCTGGGAATCGTCCTCCCAATCCTAGGACCGGTGGTTTGGGCCCTGGACCAAACCCCAATCTGGGATCAGGCTTTTTAGGTACACACCCTGCGCCTAGGTCAAGAATGTTTTCAGGACCTGGCCTTGGGTCCAACCCATGAGCAAGTGGTATGGGTCCAGGTCTTGGGCTCAACCCAAGAACAGGAGGCCTGGGTCCAGGCTCAAATCTGTACACCAGAGCAGGTGGCCTCTTGAGTACAGGATCTGGCTTTAACGTAAGAATGACTGGACTTCAAGGCCTAGATCTTGCTCTAATTTTAAGAGTAGCAAGTCTTTTAGGAGAAAATTCTGCTCCTTTTTCACAGACTTCTGGAAACATGGGCACAAGCCCATCATCCATAGCAATAGTACCTGGCCCTATGAGACCAAACACTGGCCCTAGCTCTTGAGGAATTGGCCTTCTAGGGCCAAATCCATCTTCCATGTCAAGAGCCTCTGGCCTCATAGGCCCTAACTCAGCTCATTTCTCAAGGCCAGGTGGACCCATGGGTATAAATGCCAGTCCCTTTCCTAGAGGGACAAGTTCAGTGGGACTGAACCCAGCTGCCTTCTCTCAGTTTTCAGGCACATTGGCTTCAAATCCAGGTACCTTCCAAAGATCTTCTGGCCTCCAATGCTCAAGTCCAGCAATTTTCCCATGAGCCTCTGAACCACTAGGCCCCAACCCAGCTAATTTCCCAAAGGCCACTGGCCTACAGGGTCCAAGTCCAGCTGCCTTTCCAAGATGTACTGGTCTTTAGGCCCAGGTCAAGTTGCTCTCCCCAGGTCAGCTGGTGGACATCTGGGCTCTTCTCCAGCAGGCCAAATGGGAATCAGTCCAACTCCTTTCTCAAGGCCAACTAGGACCCTGGGTTTAAGCCCAGCTTCCTTCCCAAGGACGAGTGGCCCAGTGGGCAGGACTGTGGTCCCATTTCCTAGGGTAGGAAGCCTCCCTGGCACAAATCCAGCTGGTTTCTCCAGGGTAGGGTCTCCAATGGCTGCAATATACCCAAATGGAATGTTACTCTCTTACTTCACTTTCTCTAGGACTGCTTGTTTTCTATGCACCGTGGTTCTAGGTAGGACCATCTCTAGGTAAAAAGGTAGTTATGGAACTACTGTCTGAAGAACATAACTGAGGCTCAAGTTCAAAAGAGCTATGTTTTTCCTCTGCTTTTTTCTTTTCATTTTAAAGTGTACAATTTTTGTTTTTTTCTTGTCCTTTTTAATTTTTATTTTTAAAATTTATTTTAAAGAGAGTATAATAATTGATGAGACACTAGAAGTGATACACATTTAGAAGAACAAGATAAGAGGTATTGAACTGTGGTGTTTGCATTGCACATTGCTGTCTTTGTTTTTTTTCCATAATTTTATTGATAAACAAATAGCAATTAGACAGTTTCAAATCAAATTGGTAGGACAGTTTCAATAATTAACACATTGCATACATTCTTCCTAGTAGTTAATTGCTGTACAAGATGCGGA